CCTGCTGAGGATCGCTATGCATCTGTGTGACGTATCTGAGGCGTTCCATACGGCAAACAAATGGGATGTGTGACGTATTTAAAGGGATAAGAAGAGCAAAATCGAGCCCGTAGACAGCACTTTTCTGGAAGACATTGTTCAGGATCAGAATACTAGCCTTCTGTGAGAAGCAGCTTTTGTACGTAGACAAATCGATCTGCGCTCACTAATTCCAATCGTGAGAGCACTGTTTACAGTTCAGCCTACCGTGCAGGGAGTAACTGGGTGGCGTCGATGCTTCCTGGGCTAATAGTGGTACTGCAGTGTGTGTCCTTGTTTGTAGCCCGCTCGGACCGGTACCACCACCTCGACTCAGAAGACGAGGAAGACACAAATGATGATGATCATGTGGAAATTCGGCAGTTTTCCTCTTGCTCGCCGAGGTTCAGTAAGGTAAGAGCTGAAAGGGAAAGGAAAAGCTGTAAGTAAGAATACAATTTTGAGGCCCAAGTTGCTTTCTATAAACGACATTTTGTTTTAAAATTCCTCTTCAAATAACCTGGAGAGGCCATTGGAGCCTGAATATTCATATGGGCATGCTGTGTCTATGCTGATGCTGTAGCAATCAGTGTTCATGGAGGGGCTCTGGGCACATGACAGAATTGCAGTTTTTATTCCGTATTTCCTTGCAATACCAGGTGGAGATCTAGAGGTCGCAGGATAAAGTAGCTCCAGGATTTGGTCAGTAAGAAACAAAGTGCAGTGCATAGGTGTGCACGGTGCAGTGCATAGATGTGCACTGCAGCTTTGGGTCCAAATGCTGTTCTCTATGTATGTGAACGGACTTGTGTGTGCTCGGGAAACAAATAACCCCTCCCCTTCTGGGGAGCTCGTTCGGAGGAATTCTGGACAGGAGCCTTGTCCCATTAAGTGCCCTTCAAGTTGCAATCTTAAAAGTTTTCTAAAGGAACCAAATCCATTCTTGATGGTGGTATCACGCTGGTTTAAATAACGGTTGCTCCATTGACTTCAGTGAAGTTGCTGATTGACGTCACTGTAAATGGGATTGAAATTGGACCTGCAAAATAGCTGGGGTATTGAAGAGGCTTTTTTTCACAAATGCATCAGTTGTTACTTCCTTTTCCACAATTTCCTGCTGTCATAGAGAGTGATTAATCTGTTAGGCTGCAACTTCTGTTCAGCATGAGGTCTTTTTTGCCATGAAGAAAAGTCCACTTGTAATACATTTATTTTAAGCTCTAGAAAATTATACAGCATTTGTAGTGTGGGAGGCATAGAAAGCTCGTTATTTTTTTGAAACTCTCATCTGACAATTCAACCAGATTATTTATTAATAGCTATCTTGTTGATGTTCTGCATTTTTAATAACATTATTTTCATTAATCTCTTCTTAATGTAAATCAGGTCCACAATCAAATACAGTTTTAAAAGCCTGGGTTCTTTTTGTTAATCCCTTAATTATTTAAAAATGTTGCTAACGCAGAAGGAGGCCATTTCATTTAGCTGGCAACAAAACAGTCAAGTCTTCAAGGAGGGGCAAGACTTTTGTTCAAAAAGATTCCTCTAAACTTCGTAATAGAAACACAGTCATGAAATGGGGCCGGTGTCCTGATGGTAATCACAGAGCTGAGTTTGCGGGGTAAGATTTCAAGATCTAGATGTCTGCTCTTCATATTAGTGGGGCCTGTTTAAGCAGCTTCTTCCCCTGGTTTTTAGAAGTGCTGCTTTTCCGATAACGCTCAGACAGCGAGTAGCATCGGCGCTCCATATTGCCGCGCTGTCAGAGCGTAGCTGACCGGTGTTACTCCTGGAGCCCACGTCCGACCGCGCCGAATCTTCCCACTTCCCTTCTCTCCTCCCCAGCAAACACCGGCCGAATGTGCCATATCTGCATTGGCTCCTCCATTAGTTAACCGCAGAACAGCGCTGAGTTCAGGTTTTCAGCTCACCGTCCCGAGAGAGGAATTCCCTCTGATTAGAAAGGGCTTGCAGGGTGTTTTTTCTACATGCCACGCACAGCCAACTCTTGCGTGCTTTTGCCACATGCAGGTGTATAGCAGCATGGAACGTCTTTCCATCCACGAGGAGAGGAAAACTCCACCTCCTACTAAGCGGAGCCTGAGCGAGGAAAAAGACGACCGACTAGACAGTCTCAGCGGCCTGAAAAGTCGGGACCGCAGCTGGGTGATTGGATCTCCTGAAATGTGAGTTTAGTAAAACCGTACCTTTTTCCCCCAATTACATATTGGGAAACTCTGTCTGTTCCTCCTGGCCTAACATTACATTATAAACTCTTCATAGGAGAAAAATACTCTCAGGTATGAAGTCAAAAGCGGTAGACTAATAGCTGAAATTCAGTGCGTAGAATTTTTGTACCATTCAAAAGCGTCTTATGAAGTTCTAACTTAAGGGAAGGGGACTCTGCTCTTCAACTTGGTTTCCCTTTCGGGAAGGCCTGTTTTGTGTTAGAGAAGGGTGTGTATCACAATTTGCAGTACTTTTTGTCTGGTTTGTTCCTTTCTTCCAGGAAAATAGCACAGGTTTTCTTTTGCAAATGACCCTTGTCATACAAAGCCCCCAGTATGTACCCGGAAGAGGCCTGCTTGAATTCAGACTCGGAGGTTTTGAAGGCTTGCCCATTGTTTTCTGTACCAGTAACAAATGCTTGCTCTTTGGAGGTATTAACTATCACAGCTTGCTCTTGGTTTCTCATGCAGACTGCGTAAGCGCCTGTCCGTGTCCGAGTCTTCACACACAGAAAGCGACTCCAGTCCACCTCTTACGGTTCGTCGACGCTGCTCAGGACTTCTTGACATGCCCCGATTTGCCATCTCGGCCGAGGAAGATGGAAGTGCCTCCAAAAAGCAACAGTCGGATGCAGTGTTGCTGTCTACGGTCCAGTCCCGTGAGGGGCACCCGCTGCCAATCCCTGAGCAACCCGTGGAGCAGGAGCTGCAGCTGGACGGGGACCCTGGACCGACGACAACGCTCTCATCAGCTGTCAGCAGCAACAGCAGCTCAACATTGACAGGTGCGCAGCCGTGGGGGGGACAACTGCCCGCGAGAAGTCTCGTTTAGTCCGTACATTTTAGCCGCACCACAGTGCAGTTTGTGGGGTAACACATTTGGAAATGGCGCCTGCTAATGAACAAATCTCCATGCCATTGTCTGCTTCTTTACAGCACCTGGAGAGTCTGAACTTTGGGAAACTTGCTTCTTTTCCCCCCAGCCGAGTCCCTCTTTGGACTTGTCAGTTTAGCAAATTAACCTGGTTTCTACCAGGTTATTCCACCAGGTTTCCACCAAAAGTACATCCTGGGTATAACTCTGACTGTTCAGACTGAAATTTTTCTTGCCGTATCTTTCTCAGTCTGAATCTTTATGTTTTTAAAAATTGTCATGACACCGGCTCAGCCATTTCTGAGAAGGAAGCTAGAGAGTGATACGTTACGTTAAAAAGAAATTCCAGTGACCTGTTTCTGAAAAGCTATAGGGTCCCCATGCCTGGGACAGAGTGCCAAATTTTGTTGAAACAGTTGTTGGGATGAGGACGTATCTTTTGCTTTCCCTGCAAAGGTTCACCCAAATTTGACCTTTGGAAAAGCCATGATTCATGCTTTTCTATAGCCATCTTCCAGCCGTACTCGGTAGTATGCATGGGGCTGAGGAAGCCTTCGCCTGTGACTGCAGCTCTGGGATTCTGCAAGCTGGGATCCTGTTTTGTTCCTTTTGGCAGCCACCATTTCTGGGCCCAGGGGGCTGTGGAGGAGGTCACTGCTGGCTTCAAATGCACAGAGCGAAAGAGCAAGATGTGGCAGCGGAGGAGCGGGTCATAAAAGCCGCTGGCCCTGGGGTTGAGGCACTCACGTGATGCACAAACCAACCTTTCCACACATGGCTGCTTAATGCATCTTCCTTATTTCCTGACTGGGAATCTGATTTACCAAAATGTTGAACTTGAATCTGGAGTCAGTGGAAACAGTGCTTTGATCATGTACAGTAGGAAGTGAATTGAACAAACTTCTCCTACGCAGCTCAGATCGGGCAACCTAAATCAGCCAGTACTTTTGACCTTAATCCCTGTGCCCTAGTTCTCCATCTCTAAAGTGGAGATAGTAATAGCCTTAGTCTCCTAGACCTGTTGCGAAAACAAATTCATTTATGCTATAGGGAAGAGCCCCAGAAAAGCCCCCGAGCAGAGTACTGGTTCTGGTTTTCAGAGCAGAGTTAGAAAACCTGTGCAGCGTATAAGGCGTGGGCCCCGCACGCCAAGCAGTGAATTATTGCTACCGAGGTGAACATAATCCAGTCTGCGTACTTAATGAGGCAGAGTTGCTATGGAAGAAAAGTACCATGGGATCAGATAATTAAAGACCGCCATCAAGATGCATGTGCAAATTAAGCCTGTGCAGTTAGCCTTTCTTCTGGCAATTCCTAACTTCCGAGCACTTGACTTAACAACCTTAGCATTCTTTTAGTGTAGCTTTTAGTCCGTAATGAGTATGAAACCTGGTGCGGTGGTTACAGACAGATTAGAACCTTCAAGGCAGACAGCCCTTGCTGGTAATAAAATAATTAGAGTCCTTTCCTCAAACCTCCCCTTGCTGTTTGTCTAAATGACTCGCTTGCTTTTCACAACACTGCTGTAGCGTTTGGCTTCATCTGGCTTTTTCACTGCAGCAACCTGGTTTCATTAACAGGCTTTCCAGCAAAAGAGAAGCTGCCGGTGCTCTGCGTTCAGAGCACCACCAGCGGATTCGAGTTTCTGTAAATAAGAATTCACGCCCTGGGGTTCCTTCTTTGGAAAATGTACCGTTGGACCACATGTAAACATGGCTTTGATTTCATGTCTTTTGCCTGTAGGGGGATCGGCTGTCAGGAATTCCCCGCGGTTCTAATCTATTTTAATTTAAACTGTAGCTGGGAGCACTGCAGATACCTCTGATCAGCACTCTCGTGGCAACAGCAACGAGGGCCCGGATTTCACCACTCCAAAAGCCATCAGCGACTTGGCAGTACGGCGGGCGCGGCATCGGCTGCTCTCGGGGGAATCAGGGGAGAAACGTGCCTCCAAACCTGTCAACAAAGTGATTAAATCAGCATCAGCTACTGCCCTCTCCCTCCTGATTCCTTCTGGTAAGAACTAAATCTCAGGTTAAGCACTAAACACCAAAATGCATTAAATGGAAGTTGTGCAGGCATGGGCGCCTGTCCGTAAGGATCCTGTCCCAAAGGGGCATCGTGATGGAGACTCCTGTGATCAGTGTACGAGGGTGTTTCAGGAAGTAACGAAGGTTTCAGTGAGTGGGAAACTACACACAGCAGGGAACACGGATGGTGGCACTGGCAAGTGCGCCCATCGTTGACGACGCCACAGAGACGTGACGTGACCGATCGTTGCACCCGCAGTGGTTTTATATTTCAAAATTGCTGTTACTTTCTGAAACACCTTCAACGATGTATCACTCCCATGGAGAATCATAGAAAATGAGGGTGGGAAGGGAGCTCAGGAGGTCACATCCAGTCCAACCTCCTGCTCCAAGCAGGACCAGCCCCAACTATATCATCCCAGACAAGGCTTTGTCTACTTGGGTCTTGGAAACCTCCAAGGATGGGGAGTCCACCACCTCTTTGGGTAACCTGTTCCAGTGCTTCACCACCCTCCTAGTGAGTAAACTTCCCTAGGTACAGCTTGAGCCCATTGCTCCTTGTCCTGTCATCTGCCCCCACTGAGAACAGCCCAGCTCCATCCTCTTTTAAACCCCCCTTCAGGTAGTTGAAGGCTGCTATTCAATCCCCTTTCAGTCTTCTCTTCTCCAAACTAAATAAGCCCGGTTTCCTCTCCTCACCAGTCATGTCCCCCAGCCACCGAACCATTTTTGTTGCCCTCCGCTGCACTCCAATGTGTCCACATCCTGTCTGTAGTGGGGGCCCACAACTGGACACAGGACTCCAGATGTGGCCTCCCCAGTGCCGAATAGAGGGGAATAGCTCTGCTCTCGATCTGCTGGCAACACTTCTACCAGTGCAGCCCAGGATGCCGGTAGCCTTCTTGGCAACACGGGCACACTGCTGGCTCATATCCAGCTTATTGACCACTGTCACCCCCAGGCCCTTTCTGCAGAGCTGCTGCCCAGCCAGTCACCCCCAGCCTGCACCGGCACATGGGATTGTTCTGTCCTAACTGCAGGATTTTTCACTCGTCCATGTTGAACCTCATGAGATTTCTTTTGGCCCAATCCCTCAATTTGTTGAGGTCCCTCCGAATCCTAGCCCTACCCTCCAGCATGTCTACTACTCCCCCCAGCTTGGTGTCATCTGCAGACTTGCTGAGGGTGCGCTCTGCGCCATCTTCCAGGTTGTTAAAGGTATTGAACAAAACCGGCCCTAGGACTGACCCCTGGGGCACTCCACTTGACACCGGCTGCCAACTAGACACCGGGCCATTGATTACTACCCTCTGAACCCGATGCTCCAGCCAGTTTCCCATCCACCTTACAGCCCATTTGTCCAGCCCGCACTTCCTTAGCTTGCCTGCAAGAATGTTGTGGGAGATGGTATCAAAAACCTTGCTAAAATCAAGGTATATCACGTCCATGGGTCTCCCTGCATCCACAGAGCCGGTCACCTCGTCATAGAAGGCAATCAGGTTGGTCAGGCATGACTTGCCCTTGGTGAACCCATGCTGATGATTTAGAGAACGAACGCACCATTGCTGAAGGTGGAGATATGCTCATGATTTGACGTCAGCTCCTGTCAAGGACAGCCATGCCTTACCGTCTCTGCTTGCAGATTTGTTTTAAACGGGCTCCCAGGGCTTTAGTATATCTCCAGACAATGATGCAGGGAGAAGATGTGTCCAAATCACAGATGAAACGAGCTTAACACATTCGCTGCTGCTGCTTAGTCACATGTGGCTTCCTGAACCGTCTGTTGAAATCGTCCATATCTGATGTATTTAGCAGGCAGCAGCACAGGTACTAACCGTGTTCAGGAGGAGGAGAGCTGAGCGCAGAAGGTCTAGGCAACTTTAGAGATGTAGTGAACAATAAGACCTGTATCTTTGTAAGTTTTGGTGCCAGACAGTGGCAGCAATTCTAGCTTTGTGCCTTCTCGTCCCCGATGCAGAGAGTCTAGGTCTTGCTGTAGGTTTCAGGACCTTTTCTGTTCCTGCCAACTTGAAGAATAGCACATCCCAAGAATTTACAGGGAGGCCTTCAGAGCCAGGTTGCCTGCCCAGCAGAATATGCTTTCCTGTCTCAATGAGAGCTCTGGAGACAGGTATGAAATTAGTTTGGCACCATTGTAATGATTTACATTTAATTTCCTGTGGTTTGAGGGCTGGTTGCTATGGACTCCCTCACAAAATTCTCTGAAATGCATATTTAATTACCCAGCAGAGGATCCTTCAGAACTGCTCTCCTCTGTCGGGTAAACATGTCAGTAAATACATTCAAGGGATACTTAATAACCCAATTCTTACATTTCACAAGTGCCTTTAAAACTCTTACGATGGGGTATTATTTTACCTGGGGGGCTGATCTCTCAGTTGGATGCATGAGTTTTGTTTCATGTCATCCTTATTCACATACGTTTGTAGTACAGATTATTTTATCAGTTAAAGTATAGTCACTCTGACTACTTCAGCCCAAGTGTATTGTTCTTATCAGTAATGCTAGCCGTGGTTTTGAAACAAGTGGCCAGTTAAACCCCACCTTTGTAAGCGAGGGTCACCTGGGCTGTGCAGGTGATTTTGGGGCTATTTGTAATACTGTTCCCACATAGCGCCATCCTCTTACAATAGCTGTTTTTTACAGTTCAATATTTTGCTCCAACTAAACTTAAAACAACACTAAAGTTGCTTTGTTTTAGTTGTAATCCACTCTCTTTCCCAGTCTCATTCTTTTATGTCCAAGCTGGCTTTGAGTTGCATCGATGTGAGGGAGAAACCCACGCCATGTTTGCTATGTGTCTGCCCCCCTGCATTTTCTCATCTCGAAACGGTCAGGCCCCTTTAAACAAAAATTAAAAGAAACATTTCGTAGCCTGAAACCGCGCTCTTTCAGGACTGTAAGCCTGGAGCTAATATTTACGACTGAAACATAAATCTGTGAAAATAGGTTTTCATAATGGAAACACTGCCTTGGCCATTATTCTAGATGACAAACAACACTGCTGTACTAAGTACGCTTCAGCGAGGACTTGCCGTTTCTGAAACATGACTGATTTTGACCTTTTCAAACAATTTATTAATTAATAAAGACTGCAGGAAATGAGCCCTGTTATATTTGCTACTAAAGCCATTTTTAAAGCCAGTGCCCACTAGCTTTACAAAAACAGCAGGCAAATAGGCTTCCCCATTAATATTTTAACAAGACCTATATCTCCCGTGGAAGGTCAGGCTTTCTAATTTGCACCCGTTTTGTATCATCGCTGTAGATCACCACACTTGTTCCCCATTGGCCAGCCCAATGTCACCTCATTCTCTGTCCTCGAACCCGTCTTCGAGGGACTCTTCACCAAGCCGAGACTTTTCTCCTGCCATTGCAAACCCGAAGCCACCAATCATCATCCATCGGGCTGGGAAAAAATACGGCTTCACTCTGCGCGCTATTCGCGTCTACATGGGAGACAGCGACGTCTACACTGTGCACCACATGGTCTGGGTATGTCTCTGCTTTTCGAACAAAGATTGTCCCTTGACACCGTTTATCCCCCGTCCTGATTCAGACCCAAATGGAGCAAGTAGTGAAATAAAGCCCTGTGGGCTTTATCTGGCACAGCCCTTCACAAAACCATTATGGCTTTTTGCCTTGCCTTCCCCACAGCGATGTGAATTGGCATCCTCCACCAAGCATGTATGTTAAGGCGTGTGTGTGTGTATCCTCTTGCCCCCTATTGGGGTTGTCACAGGAGGGTCAATTAAAGATAATTCATCCTGAGCTGTTACCAATGATCGTCTGCTTCAAATTAGCTCAGTCCACTGGGACTTTCAAGGCAGCCACTCATACTTGATTACAAGCCGTTAAGCATTATTGCCCTTCCATCGATTGCCCTGGGATTTGGCATTCCAGTTATCTGTGTATTATGGCAGAGGATATTAACTGCCTGCGTATCCCCCTCCCCAACCCGCGTGTTCCTTGGCAGTGTGCACGACTTAGCTGGAAACATTTCCCTCAAAGCAGTGTTTAGGATTTAAATTGCACTCCTTCTCCAGTTCAAGGAGAGAAAGGAGCGAAAGGCCGTTTATTAATTTCCTCACATCTCTGCGTGTTGGAGACCTCATTAAGAGTTTTCAGCTTTGTACCTGGTAGCCATTCTTTGATGCTAATCATTATGTAGAAAAGTCATCTGGAACCGAGTTTTGCCTTTGCTCCCCTCTGCTCGTCCTTGAAAAAAAAATCTGTGTTTCTTAAGTTTCCGGCTCTGCAACCCTTTCGGACCCAGAGAGAACCCGCTCCTTTCTCTGCTGCAGTAAGTGCAAGCATCACCCAGCTGCGTCCTCGCTCCTTTGAAAGGTTGCGGGCCTTTCTTTCCAAGGTCAGGCTGTCTGGTAGCAATGTGAGCGGGGTGTATAGGACACCCTGGCTTAGTAAAGCACAGGAGGTGGAAGAAGAGCTGGTACTGAGGATCAGTGGACATGACTAGCAGTCTTACTGCACAGGAGCTTGCCTTACAGAGAGCTGAGTGAAGTTACAGGACTCGTTAGCCAGTTTCCAAAGTACGTGCTTACTCCGTTCCAGAGGGCAAAGGACTCATTAGCCCGGCATGTTTTGATGCGTGAATCTGGGATGTCCAAAGTTGTTGTATTTAATGGGAGTAAAGGTATGGGGAGGCAGCATTAAACCTGTGCTTTGGGGTTTAATCCAGTTCTGAATGGTTGGAGAGAAGGATGAGACAGGATATGGAAGCAGATTACCCCACAGCACGTAACCATGCGGCCCCTGTCAGGTGAAATAGTGGACTAGGTAGACTCCGAGTCTGATCCAGTCAACTGTTCCTGCGCAATGTCAAGTAAAACATTTCCCTCTGATTAACAGCATGTGGAAGAAGGAGGCCCGGCCAGCGAAGCAGGTCTGCGGGAAGGTGATCTGATAACTCACGTCAACGGGGAGCCTGTCAACGGCCTAGTGCATACGGAAGTGGTGGAGCTGATCCTGAAGGTAGGGCCTGACCATGCCTGAATGGGGGCAATCCAGCTAATATCCAACACGTTTAGGAACGGACTGGCAGGTGGTCGTTTTGAATGCAAGCCGGGGTCTGACCCAACGTCGCTATTACATCTCCCCCAACTACCTAGCTCGCCCCGTACAAAATAGTGCCAAAGAGATCTTGCTTTTTGTGTAGTCCCTGGACCGTTATGGCTGTAACTCAGTTCCCAGATAAACTGTCAGTCTTCCCTTAAATCTCTAGAATTGTCTGCTTGCACTTTAAACTGATATTCATTTAATATCTGTGGAGAAAGGAGCCTATCGGAGATATTCTGCAGCAGCAAGAGAGGTGCCTGTTTGTTACTGGGGAAGCAGTCAGCAGATTAACACGTCGTGATTTTCACAATCCCTTTGTATCATTTGAAGAAACAAGTCCCCTCGAATGCTCCCAATTACTTTTATTTTGCTTTAGGCTGCTAACATCAGTGGCTCTCAGTGCCATTTTATCAAGGATTATTGTCATCAATATTTAAAGCAGGCTTGATAATTGTTGTTCAGATTGCTCAGGTAAATGACTTCCGTTTTGATAACCTCCTCTGAGCTGGGTGCATTTATTGAAACAAGATCCAACTCTTTCACAGAGGTGTTGGGTTGGAGCACAAGGAAGTGAGGTATTTTGTTAGGCGCGTTGAGGGGGCCAGGCTGCCCAAGTGATGGGAACAGGACTGCATCGATGAATGCTGCCATGCTGGAAATACCAGGTGAAAGATAAAGCTGCTGACTCTCGGGTTGTCATGACTAGCGTTTGTGTGGCTCCCCTCACCATATCTGGGTAGTGTGTGAGGCTTAAATTCAGGCCTTAGGATCTCAGTAAGATGTCAAACACCTCACCCTCCATGTTCCTTGTAGTTTAAGCTGGCAGCTTAGGAAACCAAGACCCTAAAGGGGTCTGTTTGCGCACCTGTTATTAAAGGCCAGATGGAGATGCAAAGAGGGGAAGGGAAGGGAAGAAAGCAGGGAAGCCAGTGATAGACCAGCAGCCCACTCACTTAGCCCCTAACACTGCCACCGTCTAAACAGCAATTCTTCTTTTATGTATTCATCAGAGTGGAAACAAGGTGTCTATCTCTACCACCCCCTTTGAGAACACATCCATCAAAGTCGGGCCAGCTCGAAAGGCCAGCTACAAATCCAAAATGGCGCGTAGGAACAAGAAGAGCAAAACCAAAGAAGGGCAGGAAAGGTGAGTTAGGTTCTCCCTGTGAAGATCAGCGTTATCCAGCTGGGCTTTGTCAAAGCACTTTCTATGCAACAAGGTCTTGTGTCGGTGCATGCTAAATTGAGCACGTGCAAGAGGCTTCTGAATGTGAGTAATTCATTTGGTTTTATAAACGAGTAACTTCCGGTCCCTTTTTGCAGCAAGAAGAAGAGTTCGTTGTTCAGGAAGATCACGAAGCAGGCTTCGCTGCTGCACACCAGCCGCAGTTTATCTTCACTCAACCGCTCTCTGTCTTCCGGAGAAAGTGTTCCTGGTTCTCCGACTCATAACCTGTCTCCTCGGTCACCCACGCAGAGCTACAGATCTACTCCAGAGTCTGTTCATTCAGGTAAAAATGCAGCGGGTCAGCTTGATTTTTTTAATAGCCTCATTCTTAAAGCAACAAACAGACTAGTGAGTTAGTTTATTTGCACTTGAAAGCAGCGACTGCTGTGTACTTCTTATTTTCTTGTGGGCAGATGAAAGTTTAATTCCAAACTGTGTTCATTATGCAATGAAGAGCAAGTCATGAACTACACCACACTCTCTGTGCATGTTCGATGCAAGTTTGTGTTGTAAGATACAATAGATTTCCAAGGTATTTTGACTCTTTTCCATAATACATCACAGCAAAAGAATCAGAATATTGGGGGAAAAGCCAGTCTTGAAAATGTCATCCGGCACAGGATTAAGAAACTCGCATCCTAAAAATAAGAACAAAGAAATGTTGTTTTTACCTACGTAATGCTCGAACAGCAGCGAATGCTTTTTCATGGAGTTTCTGCACGCTACACTGATTTTCTGGTACTGATTATATGAACGTAGAATCATAGAAAACCAGGGTTGAAGGGATCTTAGGAGATCACATCTAGTCCAGCCCCCTGCTCCAAGCAGGACCAGCCCCAACTACATCATCCCAGACAATACACTAACCAGTACACTAACTCTATTGGAAACCAAGGTAACACTGCATTTTGTAGTCTCTTTGCAATGGACTCTTGTGGTAATTGGACAAACCCCTGTACAAGAGTATTTGCATTGATTTGCTTAATAATAAAATATTGTAATAATTTTCTTTTCCTATTTGTTTTTTTTGAAGTTGGTGGAAATTCTTCCCAGAGCAGCTCTCCTGGCTCCAGTGTCCCCAACTCACCAGCCAGCTCCGGGCACATCCGGCCTAGTTCTCTGCATGGGCTAGCACCGAAGCTTCAGCGACAGTACAGATCACCAAGGCGTAAATCGGCAGGAAATATCCCCCTCTCGCCACTGGCTCACACTCCGTCACCGACCCCGCAGTCCACATCGCCCCAGCGCTCTCCTTCTCCTTTGCCTGGGCATTCAGTTGGCAGCTCCAGTATTATTCAGTCCTTTCCTGTAAAGCTACACTCCTCCCCACCACTGGTGAGGCAGATTTCCAGACCCAAAAGTGCCGAGCCCCCCCGTTCTCCTCTCCTGAAGAGAGTCCAGTCTGCTGAGAAGCTGGCTGCTTCTCTGTCCTCCTCTGAAAAGAAGCTGGCTTCCTCTCGCAAGCACAGCTTAGATATCTCCCACTCTGAATTTAAGAAGGAGATGCTGCAGCGCGATCCCAGCCTCCAGAGTTTACAGGAATCGATGAATGAAACAACAGGAGGCAAAGTGGGGCTCGCAGAGAAAGGCATGTTGCAAAAGCCAACTTCCAGGAAGCTGGGTGCTATTCGACAAGACAGGGTGGAGAGAAGAGAGTCTCTTCAAAAGCAGGAGGCCATTAGGGAAGTCGATTCTTCCGAGGATGAAACTGATGATGGTTCGGAGGACAGCCAAGATGGGAGAAGGTTGGATAGGCCTCCCGGCAGCGACAATCAGGGCTCCGATTCTTTTAATGGTGATAAGTTTCCTTCTAAATTGGAAAGCAAAGATAGTATTGAGGATGATGCTTTTCTGCCCGAGGATCCAAAAGGTGCAGAGGACTCGCAGAGCGTAACCGGTCAGCAGCCCCCGGCTGCCTCGGAGATGCTGCAGAGCGGTCACCAGTCACCACCTGAGAGTCTCTCAGGGACTGCTCCAGGAAAACCTAGCAGCATCGAGAAGCCACTGCGAGCGCCAGGAGCAGCAGCAAAAGAGTATGAGATGGCAGACAGCAAAGCTCTTGAGCCTGGCAGCCAAGGAGATGCCTCTTATGAGGGAATCAAAGACTCTGGGAAAACTGTGAGTGTTCAGAAAAGTCCAGATCGCACAGAATATACCACATGCCCATCCGCAAAACTCCTTCAGTTGGAACAAGGCAACTCTTCGGGTGCCTCCTGCAGTAACGATGGCCTGAAGGAGTGTCTTCTGACAGAAGCGAGTCCAAAAAAGCAGGATTCGAAACCTTCATTAGCACTTTCTCCTTGTTGCACAACGGGTATAACCTCTCCTCTCTTGCTAAGCCAAATGGACTGCAAAGAGAAAAGTCCTAAGCAGGAACTTCACCCTGTAGAACAAAGCAACAGGCTTCAGCACCTGGAAAATATCAGCGAACCCACCCGCAAAAGCCCCAGCGCTGAAAAGCAGCAAAGCTCATCCCACGTAGAGAGCGCTCCGAAAAGCAAGACCCCACCGGCAACGAGTACAGCGAGTCCAAGTAGTTCAGCAAGTGCTGCACCTTCAACTCCCCACATCCCAAGTGCCGGCGAAAAGGCTCTGCCGGTGTCTCAGTTGATCCCTGTAGCTCAAAGTGTGTTGGGTCCAGTAAAGCTCAGCCTGGCTGGTACAAGGGAGCTGGAGAAGAGAAAGGAGCTTTCCCAGGTGGACCTGTCTTGTAAGGGGGAGAAAGAGCCAAAACAGAGGCGGCAGGAAACCCTCCAGGGGAGCCCATGTCAAGAGAAAGCCCAGCCTGCCACGGACAGCCTTCCTCGCACGTGCAGGCACTGCACACAGCCCACCAAGCCGGCAAAGTCTTGGGAGCCAGAGTGTCTGCCACCCGCGAGGAAGGAGCCCAGCGTGGGCAGCCGTAAGACACCGGAGGCCTCGGGGGACACCTGGAAAATGTCCCCATTGAAGGATCTGCCACGTGCTCCCGGAAAACAGGTTCTTCGGGCCTCCCCTTTACCAGATGGCAGCGCCAAGCCTTGCCAAGAGGAGACTCTGCTGCAGGGGAGCCGCAAAGAGGCTGGAGGTCAATTAAAACCACAAGACTTCCCCTTGTCTCGCGACGGTGCTGTCAGGAAAACATAGCAGCGTTCCCGGGCTCCGGGGACTCGAGCGTTCTCCGCTGGGAAACCGAGACTGTGTGTCTGAAATTGTATGATACACTAATATAAAATAGAACTTGTGTACATCTATTTTTTGGGGAGGGGTTTTTTCATACTGCTTTTTTGCCCTTTTCTTCATCCTTGCTCTTCTATTTTTGTACACGGTGTGCTTGCCATTTGAGGTCTCTTTGGAACAGGGTATCTCTGAAGCGGGGGCTCGGAGGGAGGTTGCAGATTGCTTTCCTTGCTTGTCCTGAGCTGAAGGCACGCTGTGTATTTATTTCCCTCTAGTTTTGGAATTTATTTCCAATCCCAAAGAATTTTGTGTGCAAAAAAAAAAAAAAAAGGCAGCTCGCTTAAACACCTCTGTTTTTCAGCCGTGGCTTTCAAATGTCATTGTTTCTCCAATTTCTTGTTTCAGGGCAACTGAAAGAACAGTGACCTTGTTTCATCAGTTATCCTGGCAGCGAAAGCCCTCTTAAGTGCAACCCAGACCCCCCTCTCTTTCTTTGCCCCTCTACATATCCAGCTGTCTCGGACATATCCTAGAGTCCGTTGCTTCTCCATTCTCAGGCTGGGGTGGGGAAACATTCCTATATGTGTCGAACCCTTCGTTTTTTAAAACCCGTTTCTCAAGTCACCACTGAAACAAGCCTCCAATCCGTAGCACGCTCTGTTGTGTTGGTTTGCTTTTCTTCCTGCGTTACAGAACGCACGGTGATTCTTTCTTTTAGCTTTTAAAATTTTAAATGCCTTTTTTCCCTCCCTTTGCCTCCCTTCTTCTCGTTGGACCACCGTCAGAACAGACCGTGCCCGCAGGAAAGGGTGCAGGAGGGCAGGAAAGGGTGCGATACGGTCATTTTAAAGGAATCTCTTAAATTGTAGCACTCTTGGGCACGACCTGGGTAATGTTAAATCCATGTCAAGCGGGTATAGGAAGCGGATCCCTCTTACGGTGGATCTAAATAAGTCGTTGAGGGAGTTTAGGTACGCTGGCGAGAACCGACAAACCCCACCAAGCTTTCTGTCCTCTGTTGCCTTGGGAAGTGCTGGGAAGAGCCCCGAGTTCTTGAATTATACGGGCGAGCTGCAGACCTCAAAACAACACACGTGGTATTTCAGCATCTCGGCTTTCATAGCCAGAGCATTTCTACCGCTTAATTTACTTGATTCCAGTAGGAATTGTGATGATCTCCTGGGTTCCAGCATTTCTTGGCTTTAAGTGTAACCAACTCTGGCTAACGATCTCTTTGAGAGACTCGGATCAGCAACAATAGTAGGCTGATAAATAGGTAGTATAATTAGGGCTATGGCACAGTAAGCCATTTCCTTATTTCAGCCAATTAAAACTTACTGTCAAAGAGTGCCACTCTTGTCATATATCTCCAAACGCTCTTGGCTTTTACCCCAACCTTGTCTTAGTGTATCTGCATGTAGATCATCTGTATCTCCTAGTCAACCAGCTCACGGATCTACTTGGATAGGAAAACTCCTGAACGACGGCTGTCCTTGTAACAGTACTCCAGGCTAAACACTGCATCTGTTGGTCCAATTTCATTATACCGCGTTTTCCATGATAAAAATCTCTTCTGCACTTTGAGTTTCAACTTGTTTTCCCTAAATGCAAGTGTATGTTTTATATAGGAAGCATTCTTCCCATCTCTCTTTCTCAACCTGGTTTTAATTTATGATCCATAGCTTTCAAGACCCCATTGGATTTCTCGACCTATATTTTTCCCTGTAAACCCCGCCTCCCCCTCCCCGCTCTTTTTTTTGGATGTTTGGATTTCATTTCTGGACCAACTTTTTTTTGTGTTTGTTTTAGGATGTTTTTTTATTTTTACATTCAAGTTACTGTTTACTTCGTATATCTGTGTGAATGCATGTGTTTACGGTGGTGCTATGAATGCACTAATAGAAGCCTCCACGCTCCAAAACCCAGTGAACTGCTCCAGTAGCGACCTGTTATTACCACTCTCTCTTTGATCCCTCCGCTGGGATCCATAAGGTAGTTGAAAGCAGATGGATTCGTAATTATAAATCATTACTTTCCTGCCGCCCAGTTGGGGGTCCCGTTCCTCCACCCCCATCAGAGCGCTCTTCTCCTGATGGCAGTCTCATCCTGAGCTGGGTGCGGAGAGTCGCGAGCGCGGAGGGCTGCCTGCGAGGACCTGGGAACGCCACCGGTTTGCTCCTGAACGGGTTGATCCACTAAACATTTCCGAAACACGGTACGACTGACAGTACGAAACCAAACCAAGTATGCCTGGTGCAAAGCACTTCTCCCTAAGAAATGCAAGCTAGTTCTGGAGAGCCTGCTCCATGTCACGGGGTCTAAGGTACGAACCCGTGTCGGGGCATAGCCCCTGCAACGTCTGACTTAGGTCTCAGCGCGATAGGCAAAGCAGCGCACCCCTCGACATCGGGCAAAGGTAATTCACCCTGCAGATGTAACCCCAGCGGTCTGTGTATCGCTGCGTAAAACAAGCCATGATTGTGAGGGGTTTGGCTGCAGCCTCGCCTCTTCTTTCGAGCACAGGTGATTCAGCTTGCACTGAAAAGAAAACTGCCTGCCTGCTTTTTAATGCATGTGCACTCATTAATTGGGGAGGCAGCTAATGATCCATGGAAGTAATGAAGTACAGTTTATTTTGAGCGCACAGGCAGCGCTGTGTTCAGGAGATCTGCCAGGGTGAGCCTCGCGAGGGAGGAAGGTGCGACTAGGCCAGAGGGCTGGGGCCAGGGTCACGTCTCTGGGGGGCGGCGAGGGGAGCTCCCAGGAGGGACCCAGGCACCCAGTGACCGCTCGGAGAGCACCAGGTCCATTAGCCACATACTCCCTGCTCTTTGAACTTACCCCTTGGTGCAGCAGTTGTCATCGTGTGGCTGCCTAAACGTATTGCGTAGGCACAGAGGAAGAGTGTGAAGAGGCCCTGACGTGCTGCTGCTTTTGCATGATGGCACCAGAGGTATTTTTGCAACTAATTCGGCTAAAGACAGCACAGGACAAATATTTAGCCACTCAGTTTCTGTACCAACGTGAAACAATAGGTGCAATATTAGACATCCGCCTTCGCAAGCCCAAACAGGCTGGCGTTACTAGGAACATGTCCGTTAACAGGGAGGCCCCAACATCTGTATTCCTGGGCAACATCATCGCTTTTCCCAAGATGCCAGGTGCACAGCCCCCACTCTGTACATTCATTTAAATTTGGCACATTATAGCTGAGCTTTTGAGCAAAAGTTTCCATGGAAAATTGCAACAATGCCCCAGATCTGTGCCAAGATTCACTGCTTGCTTTGCTGGAAGGTAAAAGCAAAAACTCTACGTAGTCTTCTCTGCTAATCTCAGAGCCGTGGGAGAGGTGAGGTGTTAGAAACGGTTGCGTTGGCACGTTGCGTGCGCACGTGCGCGTTAGCACGGCGTTTTGGAGAAGTTAGGAGCTATTCTCCTTGTACAGAACAACCCGCAGACGAGTCCGACCATCACGGTGAGCCCAGGACCGGATCGGTGCGAGGCAGAGAGTGCCTGTGTGTGTGTGTGTGTGTGAGATGCACATAGCCCTCTCAGCACATCGCTTGCTTTTGGGTGATTTGGGTGTGAGTTTTTTCTTTGGCTCGTTTTGGGTTGGGAGTTTGACCTTTGCAGTCCTCCTTCATTTGTGTACGCAGCCAATGCATCCCTGCACCGTGCTCCATTTCAGTGTTATTTTTCCCCCTTCTCGACTGTTGTTGCATCCAAGGCATCTGAATGGTATTTATTGTAAATAGCAGACTCGTAGCCGTGTCGTTGCCACTCCTGGCGTCTGGCACGCTACAGGCTGCGCGTTGGGGGACGGGCGAGTGGAGCGATCCGTGGTCTTCGTAGCCACGCTGCGTTCGTGTGTGATTTGGATTTTTTTTTTTTTCTTCCTGCGAGAGGAGGATAATGTCTTTCTCTGGTTTTCTCTTACTGGACGTGAAGGATAATGCTGTACTTCTAGTAGAAGATTTCGACAGACGTGTGTGTTTTACGTTGTGTTCAGTTCTCATACCCAGGCAGCTGGGAGAGCGGCTTTGAAGCCGGGCTCTGTCAAGCTGCGTCACTCAGCACTTGGCTAGAGAAGAGAGAAGTGTGGGATTTAAGTGTTTTTAGAAACTTGAACAATTGCCACATAATAGCGGTGCAATAATTTTTATTCCTGTTGTGCCTGCATGTTGATGTTAAAATCCTCCCAAATAAATTTTTTTTTTTTTTACATAAGTACGGGCTTGTTGTTCACTTCCTGGCTGCCCTCGCTTTAAATTGTTTCCCCTGGAAAAGATGCAGCGTGGCGCTGTGGTTTCACGCTGCCAGCTTAAAACTTATTTGGCAGCACGCTGTGCTTTGAGGATGCCGCGCTCGGCCGACCCTGCCGACTCCCGGGGCACGGGAGATGGCTGCGGGGCAGCAGCATGGCACCAGCACCCGGTAGATCCAGAGATCGGGGCACGGTCGTCTCAGACCCTCTGTCCTGTGGATCAGTGGGTTTTCGAAGTTGAAGCTTCTGCCTCTGTGCTCTTAGCACAGCGCTCGACCTCCGCCACCACGGGCTCGACTCCCATCCTGAGCTCAGTAGATCCCCACTTCGGTTTTAGACCGTTCCCGCTGCTGAGCCTACAGAGAAACGCGAGGGAGGGGGACGGGGGACAAGAAGCTGGGCAGGAGCCAGCAGTGTGCCCTTGGTGCCAAGAAGGGGCTGCATTGGGAGGAGCACGGCCAGCAGATCGAGGGCGGTGATTATTCCCCTCTATTCAGCACCGGGGAGGCCACATCTGGAGTCCGGTGTGCAGCTGTGGCCCCCCACTGCAGAAAGGATGTGATCACATTGGAGAGAGTCCAGTGGAGGGCAATGGAAATGGTTGTGGGGCTGGGGGACAGGATGGGTGAGGAGAGGCCGAGGGACCTGGGCTGATTGAGTCTGCAGAAGAGAAGACCGAGGGGGATTGAACAGCAGCCTTCACCTCCCTGCAGCGGGGCTGCAAAGAGGCTGGAGCTGGGCTGGTCTCAGTGGGGGCAGATGGCAGGACAAGGAGCAATGGGCTCAAGCTGCAGCAAGGG